TCAGTTATTTGCTGTTGTATCGCCGATTTTCAATCGTTAGTATTAAATTCATGGTAACGAAATAAAATGACAAAGATACAAAAATGTATCAAATAAATCTGCTCACCTGCAATTTATAATGGCGCATTGTAGTCACCTTCGTGCACGAAAGTTCGTTCAATCTCAGCTGCTCAACATTTTCAGTTATTTGCTGTTGTATCGCCGATTTTCAAAATGCAAATGATCTGTTTATTTTCAAAGAATAGTTATTGTTTTTTTATTGTTGTTTTGTTATTGTTTGGTTGGTGTCTGATATGAAACTGCGACATTGCGCAATTTATTGGACAGACTTGTTTAAGATCACACAGCGTAATTTGGGTGGCATTTTATTTCGGATTTTTAAATCATCTTTTTATTTTTGACAATATATGTAAATGTAGTTTCCTGCTCTTAATTGGGAATACATACTTGATGGTTTTAAATGCTCCTGAAATTAAGTGCTGCTTGATGAGCCGATATTGTGTATGTATGTGACGTCACTGAAGGCCTGAGGTTGAAATGCACGGCCCGCCACTGAATAGAATTATATACGTGGGAAATTTCAAAGGTCTTTTGCAACCTCCAAATATTGATTAATCTTGTTAAAAATGTGCCCTTTTTTAATTCAAACATTGGTGAGAGCAGAAACATCTTAATTGATATTGTAGAAGGCTGGGAAAGTGTTTGGACTCCATCGAGATAACTGCAAAGCACAAATCTTGTTTTTCAGATTGGAAATGTATCACGTGACACCGCTGAACAAACATACATGCCTACGTGGACTTTTTGGGCAACGTACTTGATGTTGATTGTACCGGTACCTGATAATTTGTGTACCATGTTTCTGGCAAGACACCCATTTTACTTTAGTGTGGACTGTAAATTTCCCCAGTGTGGGACAAATAAAGGGTATCTTAAATCTTAAATCTTAAAAGTCCCGGAACAACACTGTCAAAAAATTTTTGACACTGAATGATATGCAAACATTAATAGTATTTTAATAGTATTTAATTATTCATTAATTCTACCCCAGCGGAAGAGCATTTGTTGGGCCCGTCAATGTACGCATGTATCAATACTTGAACAAAGATGCATTATTGTACCACATACTTTTCGGCCCAAAGAAGTCAAATTGGATCATTTCCCACGGCATCTGATGATCTCTCATGCACGCTAATGGTTGGGAATCACTAATACCGGCAAATTGAATTCCAATATTTGCCTTTTTCTAAATGATCAGATTGCCATTGGATAATAGGCTCCTATCTGTGTGTGTGTGTGTGTGTGTGTGTGTGTGTGTGTGTGTGTGTGTGTGTGTGTGTGTGTGTGTGTGTGTGTGTGTGTCTCTTCATCCGAGGCACACATTTTACATCAGAAAAATCTCAGAGCACACCACCAAGCAAAGACATCACAAAACATACAGTACTGAAAATGATCTCGTCTCAATTTAAGAATGTTCTTAATATGAAATTTGGGCCTGTTTCATGAAGCACAACGCTATTCTGTTCGCCCATCTAATGGAAGACTGTTTAATTATTCACCATGACACTCTATGTTGCTGGCATCGATAGATGAAGTCAAATTGTAGTAAATACATGACTGTTTGGGCAAATGAACCGAAATGGAATAATTTTGAGTGGCACATCAATACTGCTGGCATTGAATTGTCACATCCATTGTTGTTTATAAACGTCATACTGTATTTGTCATTGAAAATGCAAATCCCCAACTCGTACGTTTCTACTCATGGCCTACTCCAGCGACCTCCCACATAAGGCCAAACAAAAAAGATAGTGTGTTTCCAGTAACATAAAATTTCAGCATAGGGTCGGTAGGTCGGACAAAGTCTTTTTTTTCCCCCATCAAAAATGTAAAAAGTTTTTTTTAATCTCCCCCTAAATAATTAATTTTGTTTATGTTTCATAAGACAAAGATTGTAATTGTTCATATATAAAACATAAAACAAGAAGACATTGAACCCACCGCTCTGCGGCCGGCGCCGCTGCCACCTATTTAGTTTTTTCACCGCTCCGGACTCGGGGGGCCGGGGCGCGCCGCCGCCGCCGTCCTCCTCCGCCATCCTCCTCCGCCCTCGGTTTTAACTCGGCCCTTGGTGTTCATCAAATAGTTCACTGAATTTTTTCGATACATCAATGGATGCTATTTTCTCAACATTACGGTGCGAGCATGCGACTGTAACACAGAAAACGCGGTTTAAACTGTCGTCGGAGATGGCGGCCGCCGCCATGTTTCAATGTTGTTGACAGACGACAGGGCAAACGACGCACACGCTCAACGTGAATATCGCGAGAGTTTGCACCGATGTAAACCCTCTATGCAAAAATGTAGAGGGTTGTTTGAAAAAAATGCCGACCGTCAAGTTTTTTTTCGACGTAGAAATTATCGGTCGATCGGGTTACCGGAAACACACTACTTTTTTTTCTACGCCTAACCACATGTTTGGTTCACTGCAAACTCGAAATTGCCCATATGTGTGAGCGATATGGAACTGGCAGGTGACCACTCAAGTGTGTACATTTTCCTTTGTGGTTCAAAACAAAATACACTTTTGCGTTTAGATACCCGCCAAGCTGTCGCCTGGTGAGATTTGCTCAAGTCTTGCCCGATTTGTGGAAGTCTCATGGTGTGCTGATGTCACATGTGATGACAGAAGGTTGTGTGTGAGTTTTTTGTGGAATGACAGATAATAGCAGGCATTTAACTTGGGGAGGACTCGTCTTCATGCATGTTGCGTCAATTGATTTGGTGCTGTCATCCATGTCAATTATATGTAGGTGGACGGAGGCAGAGAACCAGGTTTTGAACCTTCTCAGATCTTCTTGAGAAGTCGCCTGTGCTGTCATCTTGCTCCTTGTCATCCCCAGCTGAGCCATGTCTTCGTCAGGGTGCTGCCACCTCCCTGGCTCCCTATGTGATTACTCGGGGAACGCGGAATCCGACTCCTCCAAGGATTCTGAAGAGTCTGATTCCACTGCACAGGCTCAGTACATTGCCAAGGTTACGGCTAAAGACGGCCACCCACTCTCCACCATTGTTAAAGCTGTGAGCCTACAAAGGTGAGAGGAGGAGCATGACAATGAATGTCTTGATGGGTTCATTCTACCCACGATTGTGTTCTCAAACGTGTCCACAGTGATGTAGGCATGTGTCGGATTTGCCATGAGGGAGGCGGAGGGGAGACACTGCTTTCCCCGTGCGAATGCACTGGCACACTCGGGAAAGTGCACAAGAGCTGCTTGGAGAAGTGGCTGTCGTCCTCCAACACCAGTTACTGTGAACTGTGCCACACAGAGTTCACCATTGAGCGGAGGCCACAACCCCTCACACAGGTCAGAAGGATTTTAGAAAGCAGGTACACTGAATCTTCTGCTGATCGTGGGGTCTATGTTCCAGAGCTACAAACAACCGGAGAAAATATGCCATATGGAGCCCATGTATAAAGCCCATTGTTATGCCTCCTGCACTTTTTCAAAGCATCTTCACCTTCAAAACATTGATTAAAACACATTTTAAACACAAAGTTAACGTATTTATAGACAAGCATAAAATGTACAGAAATACTGAATATAATTGTTGCGTCTGCGTTGAGGCAATTGCCTCGTACAGGCAGGCCTGGTTGGATGGCCTGTGACATCGGCAAGTCTGGTCCTGGATGTCTTGGAAGGCTGTGACCGACTTCAGCCTCTGCATGAGTGTTGTTTGTGTTTTACTGTTCTCCTGATGTTCAGTCATAATAGAGGCCTGAAAAGTGCATTGGTGACTGGCTCTCCTTTCCCATGACAGGGCATTACATTTAGTAAATGATCACTTCAAAATCTGTGACGTAGCGGGTGGGCGAATGATGAACTGCAATATAGATCAGACCGTGTCCAACAGTGGTGTCCAAACAACAGCACGGGAGCCATTTGGGGCGCAGCCATAAAATGTTTTGTGACCTGCAGCATATCGGAAACGGCCTGCAATCATGCAGAGATGAAAGTCCTCCGGATTTTCCCGTAATTCCGGGTTTTTTCATTATTTTTATGAAAATCTGTCCGGAGAATTGAGGAAAATTTGCCGAAAATTAATCCGGATATTAGTTGACAACATTGAGCGAAGACGCGTTTGAGTTTGTTTTGCTTTCACGAGCGTAGCCGTGTTGAAACACGAACACGAGTAACAGTAAAGAGATTTTCGTCTCTTTACAAACACACTTGCTAAACCCCATTGGAACGAACAAAAGACACCGTGGACAAGACAGTTGTCGTAAAAAATATATTTGGACAAAAAGGGAAACACACAGATTGGCAGAAAAACTTGTCCGTCCGACTTCGAGTGTCGTCTCGGCTAGCTTAGTTTAGCTGTTGTCGTGTGTGACGTCGGGTGTGTGACGTTTTGCGTCAGCGCTGATTGGTTGAAATCAAAAGACGCGCTTGCGTAAATGTTCGCGCTGATGCATGCACAGCAGAGAGCAGTGGACAAGCCAGAGTGGCGTCGCCACAACAATAATAATATCCTCGTCTTGCATTCTCATGGCCTCACCATATCTCTGAGATTTCGAAATTTCGGCGAGAACGGGAGACACAAAGGGTGCATGAGCCCGATCACTTAACTTGATTTGCAGGCCTGAGCCCGAAGCAAACCGTGATTTCATATTTTATTTGGGAGGAGGAGGGGTGATTGCTGATAACAAAGCCTGTCTTTTGGAACGAAATCTAAGTTAAACAAGACTGGATAAACATTTACATCTATTATATTTCTGTTTCTGAAGAGGTTACATTAACGGACAATTTTCCATCATTGACGGATGTTTTTTAAGAGTGGACGGGGAAAATTTAAGGCCGTCCGTAAATGACGGGTTGAAAATTGGGCCATTCCACCACAGCAGCAATACGTCCTTAAGAATCAAGCGCGGCACTTGAAGAGAGAGAAGCAGCGAGACAAAAAAGAACAATGACGGCTGGATCATAAAGATATGAAGGAGTTCTTTGAATTGTCATTGCGAGAGTTTAGTACAGTACGTGTTGTGATGACGCCACTTCAGTTTTTTTGCGAACCACGGTCTCTCGTGGCCAAAACAATTCGGACTCGGGGAAAAAAAAAAGTCAGCAAGAGAAAAGCCCGACCCGAACCGAACAATGATTGACATTTTTAGGCCCGACCCGACCCGAAATTTGGGTCGGGCGGCCCGATCTTACCTATAGTGTACATGCATATATATATATTATTTTTTTCCCCCGGAATTTTCAGGAAAGTCCACTTTCATCTCTGAATCATGGGTGCCAAGTTTCTGACAACCACAGGCAAGGAAGGCAGCTTTATTTATATAGTGCACTTCACACACAAGGTAACTCAATGTGCTTCACATAATTAAAAGTATGACATTTAAAAGCATTGACAAACAAATTACTTCGCGACATTTAAAAGCAAATAATTGGAAAGTATCTTACTGGAATGAATAAAAGAACAGACTGCAAGAGCAAGATTTTTGAAAAATGTGATTTTGAAAATGTTTTGAAGAACCTCATTCGAAGGAATGGCAGAAGAGCATATGGTAGTTTTCAACCTGGATTCAAAAACAATTTCACTTGGGGCTGACCTCACTTCTGTTGTCAGCAGTAATACGTTGTTTTTATATCGAGCATTTCTAGATATGCAGAGAGACTATTTACAACCAAAATATTGGCACTTTCCTCTTCAGAACTCCCGAGTGAATGAAGATTTTGAGACGTAAATAGTTTCCTTCACCTTCGACTCCCATGCCAAGGTCCGATTTGTGAATTTAGCAGATTAATGATTGTTAAGGATTCTAAATGCCTCTTTAAAAAAAAAAAAAGTGACCTTACTGCAGAGTGTTCTTGTTCCATGCTCAATGTTGAGAGATGCACTGGGCATGGGGTGGGTTCGTTCTAGTGAGATGTGAGATTGGGGGCTGCGGACCACCACAAAATCTCCATAATGCGATGGGACTGTCAATGTAAATCCTAGACATGGTCATAATGTATCCTTTGACTACAGCTGACTAAGTACATCCTGGTTTTTGCATGTTCTTCAGTGGCTGAAGGACCCAGGCCCCCGCAGCGAGAAGCGCACTCTATTGTGCGACATGGCCTGCTTTCTCCTCATCACACCGCTGGCAGCGATCTCGGGGTGGCTGTGTCTGAGGGGAGCCCAGGACCACCTGCAGCTCAAGAGCAGACTGGAGGCCGTCGGCCTCATCGCGCTAACCATCGCTCTCTTCACCATCTACATCCTCTGGACACTGGTAATAAATATTCTCCGACCCCCGTCAACATGGAAAGGAATTTTAAGTGTATCCTGAAAGTTTTTTTTCTCTTTTCGTCCCCCTGAAACCAGCATTTAAAGGTCAAGTATGAAGTAATTTTAGAAAATCCCAAATAAAATATTTTTATGTCACAAATAAATTAAACAATATACATGAAATAAAGCATGAAAAAATAATTTATATTTCGCAAATTTGACAAAGTAATAGTTTTCCAAAAGTGAGATCCTGATGAGTGTCAAACCCGGAAGTGTGACATCACTTCAAAGAACACTCGCGGGGCTTAGTATGGAGAGTGTACAAAGCCAGTCAGAAATGGATTTGGAAAGCGCTGTTTTAAACTTATCTGAGGGGATTCAGATGTTTGAAGAGTTTGAGGAAGAAGAAGTTGTTGGCAATATTTATGTTGGTCCATACATGTACGAGCCAGATGCTGAGGATGTGCAAAATGTTTTTCTCGAACGGCCCGACATGGAGTGGAGACGAGACGAGATCGGAATTGGAAGAACGCCAAGCTATACAGGCTACGGTTATTAGCCTAGCGTTATTAGAAATTCGATGCTGTCCTCGACTGTAAATTGTGCACAATGGAATTACTTACTTGATCCGTGTATTCTTGCTAGCACCGAGCACAGGTCATAGTGGATTGGTGTCCAATGTTGTCATTGCTAACGTAGTTCTGTTGCGTGCTCGACCACTCCGCACATTCTGTCGGAAGCATTGCTAGTTGCAAACCATAACAGAGGATTCCATCCATGCACTCGTATAGTTTGAATATTTTCTGACATGATTCCATCCATGTACATGTATATTTTGAATCCAATGTTTTCATAAACAACAGCTGGAGTTATTCACTGATAAAAGGAGAAGTACCGGTACTGATTTAACTCTTGTAAGTACAACTGCAGTCTTGGAAATGTACTTAAGTCCAAAAGTTTAAAAAAAAAAAAAAAAAGTTTTTTTACCTTGGCATGACACATTCACCACAAAACAATTCCTGGAAACTACAACATAAAAGGGAATATCTTGCTTCTCCAAATCAACGCATCATTGACGTGAAAGCTCCCTGGTTCAGCCTCCTCCCTATCACTGTATAGTTCTTTAAAAAAAAGTTTTTTTACCTTGGCATGACACATTCACCACAAAACAATTCCTGGAAACTACAACATAAAAGGGAATATCTTGCTTCTCCAAATCAACGCATCATTGACGTGAAAGCTCCCTGGTTCAGCCTCCTCCCTATCACTGTATAGTTCTTCTTTATAAGCCCCATCCATCCATCCATCCATCCATCCATTTTCCACCGCTTATCCGGGGTCGGGTTGC